GAGCCATCTCTATAAGAATGACGAGCGAAAGAATATATTAAGAGTAGAACGCCGTAAAATGAATCTTCAGAGAAAAAATGCCTAACAGAGGGCATATTTCACATTAAGGCATCATAAAAAAAGAGAACTTCATAAAAATGGAACAGGACATATCATCCTGAAACAAATGCCAAACACAGAAAGATCTTCATATTGACGCAACAAGAGCAGTGTAGCTGTGCAGAAATGTAACACAAAGAAGCATTATTATAGTCAACTACCAGATATAAGCATCCTTAGAAGACTGCCACAGAGAGAGAAAGAATCATACTACCGCGGCAAAACAGTATGCATCACAGTGCCGCCGCGAAAGAATACAAATCATAATGACGTAAGACGACAAAAGCGCAATGACTCGCACAAAGAGCATCATTAAAATCTAGAAAAAGAAAGCATCATGAAAAAACTACAGAGAGGAAATCGTGATAGGAATGTAGCAGATAAAGGCATCTTCATAAGAATGCCAGGAGAAGTGGTATCTTCATAAGGATGCTGCGAGGGATGTAATCATAAAGGAACCCTCCAAAAATTCTCGTGAAAGGAATGCGGCAGAGGGGTGTATCCTCATGAGAAAATTAAATAGAGAGATATATATAATGAAGCGAAACGAAACAGCTTGCCTGCGAGGAATATAGAACATGAGGGGGCCCCTCCAAAAATTGATCCACATGAAACAAGTCTGACCAGGTTAAGCCACATGAAGCTACGTCGTGGAGAAATTACGCCACATGGAGAAGCGTGCGCGAGGAATTACGTAGTATGGAACAGCGTCCGCCAAAAATTAGCCCAGAGGAAATCACCTTCGCAACAAACGGCACATGAAGGCACATCTGCAGAATTACGCCACATGGAGGGGCAGCAGCGCGAATTATATTGTGCCGTCATTTTATGTCCTGTTTTAAAGAATTTTCTGCAAATCACATCCCCATCAGACTCGTTCGTCAATTTGGACTATGGTGTTTTGAACTGAGAGTTCCCAGTATGGATAACTCGGCCTCAATTGTGATATATATACAAATGCGCGTATTCCGTTATAATTTCAAATTTATTCGTGCATTTTTGCAGTGCGGAACTCATCTTATGCCATAAGATATGGAATCAATCACTCAGCGAGAGGGACAGAATTTGATGGTGAGGGATGAATTGACTCGGCATCGTTATCTATGGTCAGTCTTAGTGCGTCTACTCTCGATATTGGCTTTCTGGCTTCATGATATTTCCTTTTTATGGTACTTGGTAACGCGTATAAAATAAATTTTAATATATCCAACGAATCATATAACTCGGGTGACTGTGTTTATTTCTCTTGTATTAGTGTATGTATTCCCCACCTTCCTGTAACCAACTATTCTGATTTTCCGCGTAATAATGTGGAATATCTTCCGTTTATCCATTCATGCAATTTTTGGGTGAGTGTTCGCTTCCTTTATATTTCTACATTATTATGCAATCTGTGGCCTGAATAATTCCCGCATTAAAAATGTCAGTGTTATAATGCGCGTAATTTCCTCAGGCGCCAGAAAAATTATAATCATCAGGTAAATATCGTCTATATAATATAACACATGTTTATGGATGGATCTTCACTGCCTATGTAAAAATATAACGGAGGAATATAGGTTCTTTATGTATTTTCATCTGATTCTAATGAATGATTATCCTGTGCTGCAATTCCCATGGTACATTTGTTAGTATCCGTGTAACAGCGTAATGCTATAATGCGGGGATTTATTGCTGTTTTATCATTTTACTGTGGATTTCGCTGCCACGATTTATATAGAAAGTAACTTGCCCCCGTAATTGGTACAGTCAAGGATGGGATTATTTGTGTATGTCTTTTCCTTTCTGAAATATTTCTGCTAATCCTGTCATTGTTACAATCTAAGCACGAAACATGACTCATGGTCCCTCTTCCTTTTGAGAATTGTAGGACAATAACTTAGCATATGTGGTGTAGAATAGTTCTTATTATGTACTGTCTTCTTATGAATATTATAAATATTCCTTTACCTATGCCTGCATTGTTCTGTCTCTTTCATGCCTCCTAATGCCGTATTTATAAGGAAAAGTGTGGAAACCTTGTAACATTGTCATAAATGTTTATATTATCTAATAATGCACACAGTGATTCATTCTGCCGTAATTCAATGTCTTAAATAAAGAGCATACTTCAATATTGAATAGATCCAGGATACTGTTACATACAACTGAATATTTCCACAATGAATCCTTTCCATTGAGGAGAAGTGTTCGATTAGAATTATATGAAAATCCCCAAGAAGAACAAGGGGGGCCAAGTTATTGCGGTAATGATCTTTAAGCTGTATTATTCATGTCTAAAAAAAGAAATACTCGACTAAATAGTAATTCCTTAACAGTGCATTTTATACTTTCTCAAACGATGTCTAAAGGATTATGTCAATATCTGAGTATATTCATCGCCAATTCATGGATGCAAGAGTGTGTAACTCTCCTTA